ACTAAGTGCATAATACTACCATGACTTGGGTCATTTTTTATGCTTTGGGACATGCATATAATCTCATGATCATATTTAGCATAGCATAGCAATAGTTGGTTTAACTAGTGGAAACAACAAATAGATATGGTTTGTTGAATTCAGCAAAGAGTACTAGAAGATTTTCATTTTATTTTTTGAGGGTGAAATAGTGGAAGTGCACCAATGACAAGGAGAAGAAAGAGGATGAGAAGGAATTTCTAGGGAAAATGAAATTTTTGGAAGGAAAAATAATTTGTATTTGATTAATAACAAATTCATAATATAGTTTCTGAATTAGGAACTAGGAGGATAGGGAGGAATTTCTAGGATTGAAACGTAAGTTTCTTAAGGAAAAATGATCTCATAAGAGATTCATGATTCATAATTGATTGATACCTAATTCATAATAGACTTTTTGTCTTAGGAAAAAAGAGGATAAGAAGGAATTTCTAGGAAAAAGAAACATAAGTTTCTTAAGGAAGATTGATCTCATAAGAGATTCATGATTCCTTATTGATTGAAAACAAATTCATAATAGGCTTTATAATTGACTTATCATTGCTCTTTCTAGACTCCTATTTATAAGTCTAACTTCACCAACCTTAACGCATGAGTTGTAGGTGTTAGGTAGATCATACAGCTTTCTAATTTAATTACACAACCCACAATGCAATAAGCAAAAATTACGATGTAATCAACATCATCACCAACATCAAAACAACACAAGTTAAACCAATAATGTAGTACTAGTTCACATAAATATTAGTTAAACATATATTAAACTCTTAAGACTCTTTAATCCAACTTTGCTCTTATCATGACATAGTTCACACATTACATTGCATCATTCTCCCTGGACAAAAAATTCCTCATGAATATGCATCAATATCTCCATAACACTCCAATAAATCATTCTCTCTTTAAACTTGTTTTCAAAACAAAAAAGAACAGTCTTTCTTCAAATACATTCATAAAAATATTAATTTCATGAAAAATCTTTACTTACAAAGCTTGTATATCATGATGCTCCACTTGTGACAATTTGAGATCTTCATCCTTGATTGGTAAAATTAGAAATCAAGCTTAAGTATTGAAAATCAAAATGGACATTGTTTAAAAATATGTATCTTTTGTACTTTATGAAACCATGCAATTTGAGATGGCCTTGATATAACTCAATGAGTTGAGAGCTTTTTTAACAAATCTCGAGATATAATATTTTCACTTCAATCATCAACAACAATGGTCTATGATTGAAGGTTATCTTTATTGGAATCATCATTAAGAATTTCAAGGTTTTGCATCTGCAAAGATTCAGTTTTAGGGATATCAATCTCTTCACTCTCAAACATCATATTTATCATCCTGAGTTGACTTGAATCATTAAGGAGATCTTCATTGTATTTTGATTGTATTGAGTCACAAGAGAAATCATTGCTTGTGTAAGCTAAAGGTATGCATAATCCTCTTTCCACTCCACCTTGCCTGCCTTGTCATGTTCTGTTTGAACATAGGAAACAACAAAATCTTCATAATTGTGTACTTATCTAGAAAAGTATTAAAAGGGTTATTTAAATGGGCATAAGTGTAATCATTAATATTAAATAAGGATAATATTGTCAAAATAATTAAAAGAAACTATTAAGATGTTTTTAGTTAAGTGGAAAGTAAAAATTTTAGTATTTTCAGCTTGCCTAATTTTAGCAAAAAAGTCATTATTAGAAAACATATACCTGAATGATTCAGATTAAGTGAATTAAGATTTTGTTTTCTACTAGGAATAGATTTTAGGCTTACCTTTATACTCTTATCTCTTTAATCTTACTTCACAATGTCGAAGAATAACCATGATATGCTGTTGCTGCTAATTCCACTTATTAGCTATCGAATATTTCTTTGTAGTCAAAGTACTTCTCAATGACATTAAGCTAATTAAGAAATTCATCAGTGTGAAGAAAGCAGTGAAACCCTAGTAAATCTACTTTGATGCCAAAGTTAGAATTAGGTTTTTCTAATTGACCCTTCTTAGGATGGACAAGACAATTATCATCATGAATTCACTCTGAAATACTTGCCATGCTCACTATGACCTTCTTGGCACTCAAGTTGCTGGGTAAGTTTTTCAACTTGTGTTCGAAAAGCTTTAAGTTCTTGTTCATTCTTCAAATCTCTCACCATAAGATTATCCAATCTTCCTCTACCTCTTCTTGTCGACTTGAAAAGTTTATATGGTGACAATCAAGAGAGTAGTTTAAGTTCTAATACCTAATGAGAACAAAGAGGATAAAAAACATTTTCAAGGGAAAAGTAGAAATAGAAGTTGCTTTAGGATAATGATCTAATAAGAGATCCACAATTCATTTAATGGATACAAATTCATAATAGATCTTATAATGAATTATTACAATTCCCTTCTAGGCTTATATTTATAGATTATTTTACATAGATCAATAATTGTGAACACCTCAAAAGTTTCCACATGGGTTAAAAGTCTAAATTTACCATACAACTTCCTAGCTTGGCTACAAAATCCAGAATGCAATCAACATGAATTACCATGTAGTCAACACCACCATCAACACAACACAACACAATACAAATACAAAGATAAATAAATACAAGACAAAGTAAATATTAGTTAATGGAATCCATTAAAGAGATACGAGTCATATGAAAAATTAGTCTTTCAAAACCTTAAAGGTACATTCAAATGAATAATCACTTGCTTTTACAAGTTACAACACTAAGGATTTATATTGTAATTCTTGAAACAACCCTCCAAGCATAGATAATTCCCTAGATAGAATTAATAACTAATAAGTCAGTTGATTCTTGAAATAATGGAACCGTGACTTAGAACTAATTACAACTCGTAAGACTCACCAAATAAATTGGAGAGACAGGAAATTCATAAGAAAACTGGTGAATGCTTAATTTCTCATAAAAGTCAGCACTCAATGGATCTAGACTAGTATGAAAGAATTGGTCATAACTTTCTTCTCAAAATATTTAAAAATTTAAAACCATAAGTGTTAGAGAGCTGACTTGGGGAACTTTCCAATGATATATGGCTTGTACATCTATTAGACTGACACTGATAATAATTTTCATTATGAAATTATTCATGTTGCTTAATGAATTAGAATAAAAAGCTGAAGCCCACTAGAATTTACATTGATACCCAGGCATTGGAACACTTATTTCTCATATTTATAAGGATTTTCGGAAAAAAAAAAAAATTGTACAAGCATATATCTGAGATAAATTGATATTTGCTTGTACAAAAATAGAGTTCTTGGAATGTGTTTTTAGAGTCAAAGAAACTCTTGAAGAAAATATATTGTATGTAAACTTTTCAATAGTTTGAAAAGAAATTAAAGCTCAATAAGCATATATAATTTGTATTACATTTAACGCATCAATATGAGCAGCATAGTTTTGTTTAAATGAGCTTATTTGGATTGTTTATTAATTGTGCCAAGGAAAATGGAGATATTGCCACTGAAGATGGGTTGCATAGAGGGGTGCAGTATCCATTTTCTGTTAATGAGAAGGTGCTAATTAAGGTGAGTATTTTTCCCTTTTTGGCACTAATCTGTTGACTGATAGCACGCTCCTTCTTGGTTAGATAAAATTTTTACTGGCATACTGAATTTTGTAGGGAAATAGGAGGACGCCAGAAAAATTTGTTGGCAAGGAAGCTGTAATCACATCCCAATGTCTCAATGGCTGGTATGTGGGGCAGACCTAACTTATCATTCATAATTTTTATTGTTTTCAATTACAGATGCAGGTATCATTTGAGACATTTTATTTGTAACTGTTTGAACTTCAATAGGCAACCCGTGCTATTAGGTAAAGCACTGAGTATATATCTCATTTTGTTTTGTAGGTATTTGCTTAAGATTATTGGAAGTGGTGAGAATGTGCGGCTTCAATATCGTTCCCTTCGAAAGATCTTGAACTCCCCAACCATTGAAGATGGTCGTACCTCACATCCAATTCAGAACAATAGTTCATGAGTTCAAATTTGTTTGTTTTAGCGAGTTTAAGTGGTTTCATCTGGGTAGCACGTAATTAGTAATGTATAACCTGGTCACGGTCATGTGATGCAAGTTTCTTATAAGTTATACTGTATTTGAATGTTAATTTAGCTAGAGAAAAGAGGTAGGGTCCTGTAAAGAAAATTGTATTCGTGTAAGAGGGTCGACGGCGAGATGATAATTACTTCAATCATGTATAATTTTATTGGTTGGAAGAAAGCCATTTTTTACTTGGTTTACATTGCATTGCACCACTTGTGTTTACAAAGAAGAAGCCATTTATGAGTTTTCTATCAAAATGATAAGGTAGTTTATTTTTCGTACATTACAAGTCATCATGGTGTTTTAATTGAGCAAGTAAAATGGAACATAAACTAAGCAGAACTACAAATTTTTTACAAGAAAAACAGAAAGTATTTTATGATTCCACAAATTGCCACTTTAGAAAATCTTAAACTCAAGTCCAAAGGAAGCAGCCTTTCATTTGACTTAACCATAGACGACACAATTGAAGATGTCTTGATCAATGTTTTAAAACCCAACTTGGGTCTTGATCAATGTTTTAACCTCTGTTTTAAAAACCGGACTTAACCGGCCGGTTGCAGCTGCCGAATTTGTTTTTGATGGTTGTAATATCTTTTTTATGACTTTGATCCGCTGAAATTTGTTTGGTTTAATCCAAGAGAGTAGAAGAAAGAAGGAAACAAAAAGAGGAAGTGAAAAAAAAAAAAAAAAAAAAAAAGAGTAGAGAATAGAAATGCGGAGAAAGAGATTAAAAATTTAAAAATTTTATGGGTGTAGATGAAATTACTATGTTACCCTTTAACGGACGGTTAGAATATAACAGAAAGTGATTGCTTGTCATTCCCAAACCTTTGGTTTTAGGTACCAATTTTTCTTCCGGCAAACTTTAGGTACATGCCTGTCGTTCGGCTACCATTCCATCCCCGCTTTAGAACTCAAAAAGTTGGACACCCCACGAAGAACCCCAATAACCCGATCTTCTTTCTTTACATATTTTCTGGTTTTGTGGGGCCAAGCAGAATAGGCAATGGCTTCTTCGAAATCCCTAATGGATTTTTTGCAACCTGCCAAGCGCCTCAAACTCTCCTCCACCCCCTCAGATAACTCCAAACCCATTCAAAATGTTTCATTGCTTTCCGAATCACTGAGCACCGTTGCTGACGCCGAACTCACCTCCGACCAAAAACAGCGCATTGACTTCAACAAATTTCTTGCGAAATCCAAACGAAATCTCAAAGTTTGCTCCCAAAGAGTTTCCAAATCTAAGGGTAAGTTGATGCTTTACCTCATTTTGATTTTTATGGTTTATTTTTGTTAAAACTTTATGTGAATATTTTGTAGGCGAAGATGTGAGCTATGTGAAATTGGAAGAGCTGTTGGTGGAGGAGAGTTGGTTGGAGGTGCTTCCTGGAGAGCTAAAGAAGCCTTATGCTAAAAGTTTATGTGAATTCGTTGGAAAGGAGATATGTGGAGGTCCTGCGCCCATATACCCCCCTCAGCACTTAATCTTTAATGCTCTTAACTCCACTCCTTTTGATAGAGTGAAAGCTGTTATCATTGGACAGGTATTCGTCTTTTATTTGCACTCTATTTCCCACCACAAGTTTACATTTTTTTGTACTGTTTTCTGCATCTATATCAAAAGTTCGATCTTTCGCTTCTCTTGAGTTCGGTTATAAGTTTTTTATCTGAGTTAATGGCATTGAACTGCTGAGGTTTGATTTAATAACAAAAATTCGGCGGGTTTTTGAAATATCAAAAACCCCTATGCCGTCCATGCCCTTGAGTGTTAAGGTGTTAAAGCTGTTAAGTGGTAGAAGGGGATTAACTCATAATAGTTTAAGATTTTTATGGCTTACCAAGTGTAAAGGGATTTTTTTTGTTTTAGAAATCTCAGGGATGTTTGTTATTAAATCAGAACTTCGGGGTCAATGTTTTTGACTCTTTTTTCTTTTTATCACACTGGGAATGGGTTTTTTTTAATTTCATAGTAAGAAATAAGTTATGGTTCAGGCATATTTCATCATAGACAAGTGTTTCGCTCTTTTTTTAAGTTTTATTATTCCTTTGTTGATAACCGGTTCAAAGTTGTAACATAGTATACCTTTCCCTCATTAATACAATTTTCTTAGGTTCTAATAAAAAAATAAGTACAAACAAATTTTCTGTACGATGAATTAATGTCCATAAAGAAATAAGGCATGTTCATGTTGGTCTAGTCATAAATGAATATAAGATCTACTCAAACAAAGAAACCTAAACCAAAGCGAATAAGTAATATCTTGGGTTTCCTGGGAAAGAAAAATTAATTCCTTGTTCCCTCAAGTGAATATTCTCTAAAACATCTACGAAGTATGATGTCCATCAGGCCTGTATTAGAGTTGAAGTAGGGGTTAATAATCTATTAATTTAAGCTTTGGAGATTAATAGTAATTCAATCCCTTAAAAGAATCCAAATTCCAGAGTGAAGTACATAATGTATCTTTGATTCCATTATTTTCTGCTGTTTGAAACCACATATGTCTTAGTACATTTGTCATCTGATTGTTCCTTTCCTTATTTTACACAATTACAACCTTAGTGATCGAAGGAAATTGTAGTGGTATTGGATAAATTTTTTTTTTTTTTTTTAATGATATACTTGCCATTGATATTCGGTTGTGTTTTGTCCTTTTAACAGGACCCTTATCATGGCCCTGGTCAAGCGATGGGTCTGTCGTTTTCAGTGCCAGAAGGGGTGAAGGTCCCTTCAAGTTTGGTAAATATATTCAAGGAACTTCATCAAGATCTTGGCTGTTCAATTCCATCTCATGGAAACCTAGAAAAATGGGCTGTTCAGGTAAAGATTTATTCTAGTATATATGAGGACCTTAACTAGATATTGGACCATTACCTGTCAATTTCAATTTTTGGGTCGAATGTTAACTCAACATGTTATAAAAACCAAGTTGACCAAGATATCTTTTGTTCAAATTCCCCTATTGTAATGATCAAACTATGATAATTTGTGTTGTTATATGTGTGGCTGCGATTGTGATTGATCCATATGAGATGACACTTAAAAAGTAAATATTGTTGTTGCATACTTACCTATGAGCTTAAGTTTTTGAGTTCACTACGAACTTAAATATAAAATTGTTGAATTTTGTGTCCTTTATTCTTCCCATCTTCTTTATTTACTTTTCCTCTAAATTCTTATGACATCATTGCAAGTAGTATTAACTGGTGTACCTAGTTTCTTTGAATTTTCAAGATTCCATTTAAAGTTACTGGAGCATTTAAAAAGTTGTTGAGAAACTTTTGTGGGAAGGGCGTGATAAAGGAGCAAGAAATCATATAGTCAAAAGGTAGGTAAATTCTCAGTTTGTTTGGAATCAAAGTGTGATAAGTATGAGATATTTGATGGAAAAAAGTGAGGCGTTATTTTATTAATGGTTGTAGAGATTTAGGCTCCTTTGGAAAGGAATAACCTTTGCTATTTAATTGCTAAAACTAGATATGGCCTATAATCTAGTTGGTGGCATTCCATACATCGTTGACTGACGTCAATATAAAATACCCATGGGATATTATTTGTCAAGGCAACAAAGTGTTTCTTCACTTCTTCATGTTTAACTGGGTGATGGTGATACAATAGGATTTTGGGATGAAGTAGTTGGATTTTCTTTCTTTTGAACACAAGTGTCTTGTGTATATTGATAGTTATCATTTCATAATACAATGATAAGAAGGCTCATGGATGTGGATAATTTGCTTCACTATGTCTTTGATTAGAAATATTTCCATGAATCTTGGAAGGAGAAACTATAGAGTGAGAAAACTTAGGGTGTGTTTGTTATTATTTTGAGTAGTATTTTTGAAATATTATTGTTAAGTTGAGTTGGGTTATTATTACGAGGTAGGATTTGAAAATTAACAAAAAAAACTCCTAGGTTTGTTAATTTAGTTAAACACCCCCAATAATAAAAAGTTTATAAATTGACAAAAACACCCCCACCCACCCACCTACAGTTGCTAGATTCCAGCTACCACTGTCGGAATCTAGCCGGAATCTGGTGTCATTGTGCACAACCGGCCAGATGTGGTCGGTCGTGTGTCGCTATGGCCTTTTCTGGCCATATCCACCACGGATCTGGCTGGAAAAGGCCAAATCTACGACCGGATTTGGCCGATGTGAGGCCGTCAACGACAGTCAAAGATATGGTCGTTGTTGTCGGTCAACGACGGCTATATATTAGCTGTCATTGATGGCCAGATCTGGCCAAAGATCTGGCCATCAACAGCCAGATCTTTGGCCGTGGATCTGGTCGGAAAAGGTCAGATCGGCGCACTGTCGGCCAGATCCAGCCAGTAGTGCACCATTATGTCAAATTCTAGCCACCTTCCGACAGTGGTTGCCAGAATCTGACAAATGTGGGTGGGTGGGATGTTTTTGTCAATTTATAAAACTTTTTTGTTGGGGGTGTTTAGTTAAATTAACAAACCTGTGGGGGTTTAAATTAGTTGGATATTACAGGATATGATTTTGAGAATAGGGAAACAAACATGCATTTTTTTAAGAATAGGAATAGAGTATTTTGAAAAAAAGGAAACAAACCCACCCTTAGATCTTAAGGAGAATTTTTCATGTTGATCATCTTGAAAGGTAAGTGGATGATGTACATATCTATCCTTCTTTGATGAATGAATTTTCTTATTCCTTTTTTTTTTTCACTTTTAAAATCTTTTTCTAATTTCTAGTCTCCCTTCTATTTATTTCTCTACCCATTCTCTCTATCTTTTTGTCTTTTGCCTCTTCTGCTTCTACTTTCTATTTTGCTGTCCTATATCATTTAGGGATCTAATTTATTGTGGATTGGACCTTCTTGTACTTCTTGACTAGTGGAAAATGTTTCATCTTTTGGAGGGAGAAAATAGAGCTCTGGCTTTATGTAGATTCATGGTAATGGTTGTATATTGGGTCATTTGACTAGAAAGGAATAGAATTTTGAGGATAGTGGGGGAGAGAATTGAAAAATATAACAGTTTAATGAAATAAAGTTCACTTTCTGGCATTTCTATGTGTAGAAATTAAATTACAAAGATTTCAAAAATATTCTTTAATTTCTTTATTTTAATAACTGGGAGCAGTTATTCAACCAAAACAGTTTTTGGTTTTGAGAATTTTTCGTTTTCATTCTTTTTTAAAGTGGATTGCTTCTCTATAAATATTGTAACTTGGCTATATTTTTTAGTATATTCAATTTTTTGTTTCTTTAAGTAAAAATTTGTGTTTTTCCTGTGAAAATTGTATTATGTTTGTCCCATGAAATGACCCTTGTACATTCAGCTGCCATCTGAAATTGTTTTCATACACTTAGATCCTTAGCTGATTGAAGAATACATGCAATGTCCTTCTACTCCGTTCCCTTCCTTTTGTTTATTCTATGAATTGTTGAAAGACTACCAAAAACAAGAGGAACATTATTTTCTTGGTATTTGGTTCAAATATTTTTGGTGCTGTATCTTTTCCTGGACTGAATATATCTTTGCATTTGATTTAACCATCTTGTAGGGTGTTCTGCTGCTGAACACTGTTCTTACAGGTAACAGCCTCATCATACTTGGACTTCCAATGAATTTGTTAGCATCTTAAAATTGGATTTGACTGGTTTTTACTTGTGAATCATTATTTTGTCATGGAGGCATTAATCCTAGATTTTTCTTTTTCATTCTGATTGATGATTACACCATTTTCGAAAAATATCTCCCTTTTTAGGGCAAAAGACTCCTGTCAGTATTAGTGAAAAAACAAATAAGGGCATTGTGATACTCTATTCACTCATATAGCTCTCAAAAACTGGGCATATTTCAGTTGAATGTCATTGCAGTTTTAAAAATTGTCAAGTGCATTTTAAAGTTTGGACATTTTAATTAGACACACCAAAATTTTTTATTGAAATTAAATGCCTTCCATTTTTGCACATAAATTATAACCCTCGTAACCTCTATAATGCTTCTCATTCCATGATTCTGGAATTCTGTTTTTATTTAGATGATGATGCAACTACATATTCTCAAATTTGAAAGGAACTGGTGCCGCCTTACCACTTCAAAATCTAGTACAAGCGGACAGTGATCTGCTTTAACTTGTTGCAGGCTTTGGGAAGATTTCTGTTTCCATGTTTCAGTTTGTAGTTCTCTTTTGTTTTTCTTCGAGGATGGATTTCACCATTCCTTTTGGGCTTCAATTTTTCAAAAAAATTGAAGGAAACTTATTTATTATCTATTCCCTAAAATTGAGAAGTTTTTTTGCTCTAGTTTTATACTTCGTCTATGTTTTGTCTTGTTTAATACGTAAGGTCTTGCTTTGTTATGTTAGACTGCTGGTTCACATATACCTTTATTTCATTTTTTTAATAAATTATTTCTGTTTCCCGTCAAAAAGCTAACCAAGTGTGAGATTGAATCCTTGCATTGCTTTGAAATTTTGTGCTGTTTCATTTTGTTTTGGTGTCTAAGTTTTCCTGAGTTTCTTTATTAAAAAAAAAAAAAATGTTATTTTTTCTCTTTCTCATTGTTGTTTTGGTTAATATTAAATTGATAACATACAAATATAACTTGTGACTTTTAGTACTTTTCATTTTAATTTTCTATGTTTGGTTGTTCAGTTAGGAATCATCAAGCTAATTCTCATGCCAAGAAAGGATGGGAGCAATTTACTGATGCTGTTATTAAAGCAATTTCAGAAAAGAAGAAAGGAGTTGTTTTTCTCCTCTGGGGAAACCCAGCTCAAGCGAAATCCAGGTATTTCCATTCTTTAAGTTTCATTTTGTGGAGATTGGCATTTTTAATGGTAAAATATATTGCATTTACCATTCTTTTCAGAAAAATGAAAATTGCCTAACCACAAAAGGGAATGCGCTGCTCCCTCCTTGGCTCTCTCTTTGTGTCCTTCCCCCAATCCATGGCATTCCAGTCACACTTTAGTATCCGATGCTTTCTGTTTTTGCTTGCATGTTTTGGGACAAGAAATACTTAGGAAGATACCTATGCAGCAATGGAGTACCATTTTTTGATTCATTCCATCTCTTGTTCTAGATACAAATCCAGGAATGACTAAGTGTAAGAGTAATCTAAAATTTGGTTCTTAAATCTGGAATAATATTATGAAATTAAAGAATTAAATTGTAAATTATTGGTTCAATTATTCAATTACCTTGGGTAAAAAAGTTGAGAAGAATTTAAGGTTTCTATTTTACAGAAGAAAAAATGATTTTTCTGTTTAACTTATAGGGATAATGTTAAACAGGTTGATTAATGAGACGAAGCATCACATTCTCAAAGCAGCACATCCTTCTGGTTTGTCTGCAAATAGAGGCTTCTTTGGCTGCAGGTTAGTTTGATTACATGAAAATAGTATCTGCTCCGCAATTTTTATGCATATAACAATTAATTTCACTCTTTATATGCTTGTTTTCTTCGACTATAAGATAATGGTGTTAGATTATTTGGTTTCTTGAATTTCGTCATTTCATCAAAGAGACTTCTGCAATCCTAGTTTTCTTTTAGGGCCTTTCCCATATAAAATTTTGTATTATTATTATTTTCTTTATAGGTAACATAAAGGTATGTATTTATTTATTTATCTTTTTATAGGAAACACTAGTGTATTGAAGTATAGAAAAAAGATACAAAGGTGGACCAGGTCTCGACTGTAGGAAAGTTAGATCTTTACAAAAATCTCAAACATCTTGTGTATGTGAACACCAAAAAGACAGAAAATATAGCATCCCAAAAACCACAAAAACATAACCCATCAACATAAAGGTATGTATTATGATAGAGCACCACCAACAGCCATCACACAGGTTTACAAGAAAAGTAATAAAGGGGGTAATTAGTTAGTAGGCTTGGTGGGGAGTTTGTTAGCACATAGCCACTTGGTAGTAGCTAAGGGTGAGATGATAGCTGGGTATATATATCGGGGTATATGACTTGTAAAGGTAGAAAATATTTTAGAAAAAGGATTTAGTTGGGGAGGGTCCTAGCACCTTGAATGGCTTGCGTTATCTATTGTTTACCTTTCAATTCTGTTCTTAGAGTTCTTGCTACTTTACTGTTCTATTATTCCAATTTATTAATACAAATTGCAGAATATATTCAGATTTGTGCTTGACTTGTTGTGTTCTCTGTGTTGTGTGATGTGGAATTGTGGTTAAGTTTTGGGGGTTCCTAACATATTACAATGGAAAAAAGACAAAAGTGGATCAAGTTTCCACTACAATGAAAAGAACGCATCGATCTATGGTCTAACTGATGAAGATTCCCCTCCTAAAGACATTAGGAAAGGTTATAGGAGAAAATATGTTACCTGCTCCTGTAGGTTTTAGGATTCTTTTTATTTAAGTATTTTATTTTCTTTCTATATTAGGTTTCTTTTATTCTATTATGGGTGTGATTTCAAGCCTATAAATTGGCCTTAGATTTATTTTGTTAATTGAAATTCCTTATCCTAAATTCTCTATTCTCTCATAATTTTTTTTTCTCTTTTCTCTTTTCTTCTCTCATCTTACATTACTAAGACTTTGTAAAGCCTATCATGGAACTTTGAAAGAACAAACAATAAAGAGATATTACTATAGCTTGAACAAAAAGGCCACTGTGTAATGAAGTTGGAAGGATTTCATATTATTTTTGCACATTGCATAGTGGTGAGGGGGAAGGTACTTTTGATAGTTTCTCCTGTATTGAGTTTTTCATATGGTGTAATTATAGTCAATCCCTATATGTTTGGCAAAATGACAATAATCACTTATTGGTATGAGAGATTAGACCTTTACCCCATTTCTTTTAGTTTTTTTAAAAGAATCTTTTAACTTTGGAAATGACGTTTTGACCCTTAAATGTTAAAAAACTTGAAGATTACCCTACATATAAAATCTTAAAGATTACCCCAAAACCTATAATTACAAACCAAAAATTGAACAAATTATTTTTATTTAAGCCCAAAATGGTTAACTCAGAATGTTTAACTTCAAATCTGGAGAACAGCCTTGAGGCAGTCGTGTGAAGCCATTTTCAACCTTGCAGTGGTTGCAAGAGGCCATTTCTAGCCTTGTGAGACCATTTCTATCCTTGAAGCAATAGTTGGAAGGTGGAATCAACCTCGTGGTATCTGTTTAGGCCATTTTCAGCCTTGCACTGTTGTGTGGAGGCTTGTTTCGGCCTCATGCAGCCATGGGAGTCCTGTTCCGACCTCTCGTACCAAATTTGGCCTTGTTGCAACCAAATGAGGCCAAAACCAGCATTGTCACAACAATAGGATGCCGGATTTGAGAACGAAAATGGTGGGGGAGAAGAAAAAGGGAAACATGAGGCTAGGATCAGCCATGTAGGAGGCCGAAACTAAGAATGGACATGGTGGGGGAAAAGAAAAAGGGACGAGAAAGAGAAAAAAGAAAAGAAAAGACAGAAATGAGTATTAAAAGTCAAAATGTATGTATATTTTCTATATTCATCTCAACCCCATATCAGAATTATCATGTTGTTGTCCGTTATTATTTAACCCTTAAAACTTTATCTGTGGTTCATAAAGTTATGGATGACAAGTAGCAAAGATAGTATGAATTGTTAAGTAGTTCAGATAATTCATGGTAAAATCATAGGGATCTGAACATTGCAATATCTATGTCAATATTTTCCATGTAGAGTTCCTTTCATTGGCAAATATGAATTTTATTATTCAAATTCTTTGTTGCATAATGTTGTAGATAAGCAGTAGAAAAAAGAAGAGAGGGAAAAACAGAATGACAGTTGATAACCATTTACTTGCTTATCATGTGAACAGACATTTCTCTCGCACAAACCAGCTTTTGGATAAAATGGGAATCCCCGCCATAGATTGGCAACTTTGATTGGAAGGAACACCGGCTTCTAATATTGAGTTTTGTGAAGGAGCACTTTTGTGCATGGCTTGGCTCCCCGGTGATGTAGGGGTAGAATAGAAGGCACATTCAATCTCATTAGTCTTCTACTACCTGTACCTGGTAAAATCATATGAACTGTTAAGTAGTTTGTTTTATTATACTCTCTTCTTCTCTATCAAATTTCCGAAGTCTTAAGTTAAGATACCCTATATGTAACTTTGTTAATCCTAAGTCCCCAGTGAAAGTAGTTTGTTCAACCAAGAAGAACAGTCTTCAATCATCATTTTTTAATTTTCAAGTTCACAATATATGTTACAGAATATCTATCACCATGTATGAAGAACAAACACCTTTAAAGAGAAATAAACCATTACCAAAATATTAGACCACTCTGTGTCTCTGTCTGTTAGTACAACTTTTAAACAATATGATTTATGTCCGATCAGTCTCGGCCAGTAGAATAGCAAAGATAAACGAGAACAGAAGTGAGATCATTACCTATTTTTAGCTATTAATAGCGCATTTTGTGATTTATAAGCTATTACCCTATTTGATCTCTTTACCAGCTCATTGTGCCTTAATGAAGAGAAAGAAATCTGATTATAAGATTCTCTTGACATTCTAAAAGGCCTGTGGTATTCTTTGACATGTACGCACAATACATTCTTTCACCATTGCTAAAGTCCCCATCAAAAGATGACACAGATTGTCCCGTAAAACGCATCACTTGTTGCTAAAAGCCTATCACGGGATGACATTCTCTTATTTCAGGTGTATTCTAGTCCAAGGATCCAAGCATATCCTTCACATGCCCTTCCAAAAACACAAGCCCCAAATTTATCCCAGCGCGAGATGTGACTTGTTTCACAAGCAAATGACTTAACACTCTCGGTGTCATTCTTATCTTAGCACACACAATCTCAAACCCTTCATGTACTTGTTTAAAATGCTTGAAATCATGAAAAAATTGACGGAAATGATAAAGTCACCGAAGGTTGTGCACCGAATGACGTGGTAAAATCCTGACTTTCTATTAATATTCAGTTAAAATTAATCAATGGTTAGGATTTTGTCACGTCATTCGGTGCATGAATTCGGTACACTACTTCGGTGACTGTAGCATTACTCAAAAATTAAACCTTCATTTAATGTCACTTTCTCTTCTTGCTCATACTCAAACAGATTCTTGCATATAATATGTCATTATGTGAATTGTAGTTTCCTTTTCTAAGGATGAATATACTGGCTTGATAATCACTCCAATATCCATTAGGGTCCATATTTTCATTGGATATTCCACCTTTATTACCTTGTGCTATATCTTCTTCCCTTATCAATATCTATATTTTCTTCAGGGTCACTTCTCTAAGGTCACTTTCTTCCATGCCATCATTTGTATTGTCTTCCAATGAACCCTCCTTATTATCTTTAGATACATTGTGGTCTTCCATTGTAGCCTCTTCACCAAAATGTTGAGGGAAATGTTTTCAATTATTGCAGGTGCATGGTTCTAAGGTAGTGATGGCCAGTTCTACGAAGGTATTTATGTTAAGTATTTAGTTATGTGGTGTTTCACTATAGATGTTTGGTTGGGGTGTATGGTTTTTCGATGAATCCATGGTGTAGGTTGGTCCAAAACTTGTCTTGATATGGAACATTGTAATTCTTTACTGGGGTTTCATTGTAGGAGTTTAGTTCATGTGGAAGCTTTTTGGCTGGTTCAGTGTGTATGTTATCTTTAGTTGGAGGGTTAGATGTTGCTTCTGTATCAATGTTCAGGTCATTGTTTTATGGTGGCTCAATAGAGACTTTAATTTGTTGTTGTTATGCCTAAAATAAGGGCTGACTTATGCTGATGTCATCAAGCACCAATAAGAATACAGGAAATCATTATACCATCCAAAACATGACACGTCTCCACAAGCAAAAGAAATATAGCTGTCAAAGACCCAAATCGACTCAAGGTTTTGTGCCTGGGTGAATTTGGTTCACACACCTGTCCAAACCTCATTTAATTTAAGGATATTCGTTGAGTTCTCAACGAATGGCAAGGTAGGAGGGATCTTCACGACATCAAGCCACTTGCAAAAGTGTAATCATTACCTTGAGCTAAACATGTATAAATAGATAGCTCCCCTTTACAAAATTGAGATCAGATACTCACGCATTCAACAAAGAAAATAGCAAAGACACACTACTAGAAAAAGACTGGCTTTGACATTCTTTAAGAATACTTAGAACACTAAACACTTGTAATCCCAGATCGCAACTTGTGACCTCTTGTAAGCTTGACTAGTGATCAAAAAGCAATTTTATATTAAACAAACACAGTGGATGTACGATTCACTTTAAGCATCTGAACCAATATAAAAATTATTTTGTCAACTTTACCTTTATGTCTTTGCATGCTACTGTGCCTACGGTACCTCACCCACATATTTTAATTAGTTTACGTGTGATTTCTTAGCACTTTATACGTGCGAAGTTGTTGGTGTCAAAATCAAGCATCAACAATTGTGTTGTAGCTTTGATTTGCAAATTGGGTTTGACAATTGATAATTTTTGTTGACCTATCTTCAAAAAAGATGTCATCAATGTCCATGGCAGCAAATTCCTCAAACATAATCTACAATTTAGTGTTATTCACCATCTCAATCCTCGTGTCATTCTTTCATGGCACATTAACAAATGCTTGCATCCATTCCAATGACATGACTCCATGACCAAATACTAGGGGTGAGCGGTTCTGGATACCCTATATTTTTTCTGAGAATCGAAACCGGAACCGGAACTGTACAGTGCAGGTTCCTAGCAAAAGGAACCAGAACCGAAACCTGTTGATTCTGGTTCCTTACTCGGGTACCCTGTAAAAAATCAATTTCCCCTCTATTAGTTTAAAAAATGACAAAAATACCTTAAAAGTTTACAAATAGACCCCTAACAAATTAAGTAATCATCCTATAAATCTATAATGTGATATTATAATTAATTAAATTTGTAATTATTTAATTAAGTAATGCACTTATGTAGTAAATTACTAATGTTTACAATGTAATATTATAATTAATTAAATTTCTAATCATTTAATTATTTAATTAAGTAATGTACTAATGTAGTAAATTACTAATATTTATAATGTAATGTTATAATTAATTAAGTAATAATTTGTTTATAATTTAATGTTAAAATTAATTAAATAATCATGTTATAAATCTATAATGTAATGTTATAATTAATTAAATTTCTAATAATATAATTAAGTAATGTACTAAACTACTAATGCAGTAGATTATTAATATTTATAATGTAATGTTATAAATTTATAATTAATTAAGTAATCATTTAACTAGTAATATACTAATGTTTATCAATTTATCATATATAATTAATTAATTACTAATTTACTATAAATATACTTAAAACTTGATAATTGAAGTAAATAACTAAATATTATTCAATCAAATATAGTAATTTATTTAAAAATAATTCTTTAAAAAAATTAAAACACTTTTAATTGGATCCTAATTTCAATTATACACTTAATAAATTTTTTACTATAGTGAAATATACATTACTTTATATTTGATTATGTTATTATAATATATTAAAGTTTTTATATGATGAAGTTTATATGTATAATCGTATACATATTTAATTAGGTTATTGTAAAAATTTAATTTTTTATATAACATTAAAACAAGTGTCAATCCCATTTTAAATTTTTTTATATGTAAAATTACATAGACCCCCCATTGTTTTCAGATATTTTGTTTTAGTCCTAGGTTCCAATACAGGTTCCATATCGGTACCCGACCTCGGTTCCAAGACAGATTCCAATTTGGGTACCCACCCTCGGTTCCAAGCAATTCCAAACTGGGTACTCGTTCTGGTTCTCATCCTAGGTTCCGGTTCCTCCACATATAGGAACCGGAACCGAACCCGCATAGTGTTAGTTCTAAAAAGTTGGAACTAGAACCTACTTGGACAGTATTGGTTTTGGGTAGGTTCCGGTTCTGATTCCGATTCTAATTTCAATTCTACCCGCTACCCGTGCTCACTCCTACCAAATACGACCTTCTTTGTTTTGTGGATTAAGTGTATCACACTGTAATTGTTTGGCTCAATCAGGCTAAGTGATACAATTTACTGAATACCATCACACGAACATTGAATCACAACGTCCTACTTTACATACCAAAAGTATCAAAGTCAAGAAGATATGAAATATCTATCATACTTCATTGCAAAACAAACAAATTCTGTGTATCTAATTACAAACTAAAGTTTCTCATAACCCACAATTTCCTGTAGCACCTTAGATTATAAATTAACTAGGTGTAAGCCCGTGTGTTGCGCGAGTGTGTTTATAGAATTGTATTTTAAGTATTATTGTTTGACGATAATATAATGTTGTTTATGAAGTGTTATTGAAATTAATGTGATAGTACACATTGCGCAGGTATATTTATAGAATTGTATTTCAAGTATTGTTGTTTGTCGATAATATAGTGTTGTTTATGAAGTGTTATTGAAATTAATGTGATAGTATTTATATGAATGTGAAGAGTTTGTTGTTGGAGTTAATTTACTAATGCACTGATAATTAAAGCAATAAATGACAAGAAATTAAGAATAACAATTTGATATATATATATATATAC